GTAACAACTTCTTTAATTCATTCAGCTTCTCCAAAATTTGAAAGTCTATGATTCAAAATTTTGCTTTTCCCAAAACAAAGTTAAAGAAAAGATATGAAGTCAATGATAAATCTTAAAGTTTTACAAAGATTACTGTAAGTAATATTTTTTTTAAGTAATATTTCTTCTTCATATCCTGTAACTTCAGGAGTTCTTCAAGGTTCAATCCTTGGCCCTATACTCTTTTTAATTTACATTAACGATCTTCCAGATATTATCACATCTAAGGTGGCATTGTTCGCTGACGACACTACTGTTTATTCTTGTCATGATAAGAAGCCTACACTCTCTGATTGCTTGGAGTGGGTATCTGAGCTTGAAAAGGATCTCACCTCTGCTACAGCATGGGGCTCACAATGGCTGGTGAACTTTATTTCAAATTTAGATCTTCCTATATTTATGAATGGTAATGTACTCGATGAGTCATCTAACCTTCATCTTCTAGGATTAACTTTTACTTCTGATCTTTCTTTTAAACCGTATATCAAATCCATTGCAAAATTAGTATCTGCTAAGGTTGCATCTCTTTATCGAGCTCAACACTTCCTTACTCTAGATTCTATTCTCTATCTCTATAAATCTCAAATCTGTCCCTGTATGGAATACTGTTGCCATATCTGGAGCAGATCTTCTATTGATGTCCTTTCTCTTTTAGACAAGGTGCAAAAATGTATTGTAAACATAGTTGGACCTGCTTGTGCATCCAATCTCCAACCATTGTCACATCATCGTGATGTTGCTTCTATTTCTCTTTTCTACAAATACTATAATGGGCACTGCTCTAAAGCTAGTTTTTTTCTACGAACATCAGTTCTTTAGAATTTGCTTCTTTCATCTTGCTTCCCTGATGCATATAATTTGCAATCTTTTAAGTCATCTGTCAATCGTTATCTTGCTCTACGAACCTAATCTTTTTTCTTCCAATAACTTCCAAACTCTTATAGTGGTTGTTCGCAGCCTTGTTGGAAGCGAAGATGTAGTATATATTTTTTCTATTATAATTTATATATATATAAATTATATTAGTATATTGTTTTTTAATTAACTAATATATAGTCTTTAATTCATTTACTTACTTATCTTAAGAATAATGAAATACAAAAAACGTTTAAAGTTGAGAATAGTTTTGATCTTTACTAGTATGATTCTATCGCCAAGTTTCTTGAATGTGATCAATTATTTCTCAATACTAATGTTGCAAAAAGTAGTATATTTTTTATTATGGTTAAATGTTTAGTTTTTTTTTTATAAGGGTAAATTACATAAAAAATTTTGATCTGTAATTATATACATAATGCTCACTTTTCAAATAAACATAATTTACACAAAATTTTTGAATTGAATAAAACACTAATGAATTGCTCCTATGCCCAATATAACTTACACTAAATTGTCCCATATCAATTACACTAGTGTTATCTTTTGAATTTAGAAATAGAAGTTATTAAATGTTGGTGGCTCATCATGCAGTGCATTTGAGAAGGGCATGCTCTCAAAGTAAGTATAATTTTACTATAAAAAGAGCATTTTTAATACCGCAATTATATTGCATACTTGATATACATAAATATATACGCTGGTCACAACAATTCAGTCAAAAATTTCTTTAAAAAAATAAATTTAGTGTTGAGAAATTCGTATTTTTTGATGTTTGATGTTATGTTTATAAAATAGTAATTATTTATATGTGTGTGTTTGTGTTATTTATTTCTTTCCTCTTTATTTTTACATACTTATCTTAACAATATTTTTTTAAGGTTAAGACTGCTTCCCTGATTCCTACAGCAAAAAAAAAACTTTAAAATGCTGGTGGCAATATTTTAAAGAGTGCATCTGATCGAAAAGAAGGTGAATGACGGCAACTGTTCGAAAATTCGATTCTTGGAAATTAACAAGTGGAAGAAGAAGTTTACAAAGTTGTAATTTATAAAACTCAGCACAATTATATTATTAAAAAATTTAAATGATTTATTATTTTTTTCTTATTCTCAAGAAGTTCTGTGAAAACATAAATTTGAACCTTACGTTTAAGTAAAGCCATGTTAGAACACGTATTTTAGACGTCGAAATAAGAATGTCTAAATTAGGTTATTTAAAGACGTCATTCGGCGTTTCCATTTAGAACTAGTTCTGAACGTCCTAAATTCACGACTTTTAGACGTCTAAAAAAAAGTCTTTATTCCGTCCTAAAAAGACGTCCTAATTACGCCTTAAAAAGACGTCATCTGGCGTTGCCATTTAGAACCAGTTCTGGACGTCCTTTCGACGTCATATGAACGTTGCCGTGCCCGCTGGAGGAGAGTTTCTAATAATGTACTCCAAAATTAATCTCAACAAATACATCTGGTAAATCAGTAATTTTTAATGTAAACATTACATTTGGTACATGTTCAAGAAAATATTTTTATGTAACTTTTAAAACTATGATACCACACAGATCAACTCTAAAATCTCCAGTTTAAGGTTGCTTTCAATGTGTAGAGAGTATATCAAACAGTTATAAACTGAGGACTGTATTCTGATCTAGAAAATACATTGGAACAGGCTGGGTTTAACAACATCTTTATTTATGGTTCTTTTATTGGGTTAAGAGTAAGTAACTAAGTAAGAGTAACCAGTCTTGACTCACTTTTTAAAGTTGCTCTACTTTTTTAAAACTCTTTACCTGATCTACAAAAAAAGATTAATAAAATAAACAAATTCATGCATACAGACACAATTATGCATATGTGTATATGTATGTCTGATATATATATATTTATATATATATATATATATATATATATATATATATATATATATATATATATATATATATATATATATATATATATATATATATATATATATATATATATATATATATATATATATATATATATCAGACATACATATACAATGGTAATAAAAAGACATCTCTTCTTTTTTTTATAATAACTTTTTTATCTTTAAGTATTTCCTTATTGGAGAATTTACAGTAAATTCTGTAGACTCTCTTATAGGAATGCAATTGGTTGTACGATCAAATAAAAAATTTCTTCAAAGGCTGTAAATCCAAACAACATTTTGGGTGACTTTGCCGCAACAGGCATTTACTAATTGAACCCTCTTTTTTTCTAAAGTTGACTCTTTTCCAAATAATGACCTTATTCATAAAAAGTTAACTAGGTAAACACACAAAAAAGATTAACTTTAAGTTAATTAAAAAATATATCTATACCTCTTTTTCCTTCCCCTTCCTCTTATTATTCCATTAATTTTTTATATTTCAGTCATACCAACTGAATGAAATAGGCAACTGCTTAAATTAGGTTAACGTTAGCATCTAAAAGTGTTAGCATTTTATGTTATTTAACTCGCCTTTTAAAGCCTTTTTCTTAAAATAAAAGCAAACAAACTCAATAGACTGAAACTAATAAGTCTTATAATTAAATCTTTCTAAAAAATACTCACATCATCATTCTCATATTTATCTAAACGCAGAGAATGCTTTATTTATCTGAATGCTTATGAAACTCCTGTTTAGATTGCTAACAGCAGATTTAGACAAGTTTGCAAAAAAAAACGGGATTCTAAAAATATGCAGCTCGCTTACTAAGGTTTAATTGTGAGTTAAGCTCTATATATCAATGCCAAAAGTTTATTTTGGCATTGATTTAAATAAAAATGAAATATTAGTAGTCTAAAATGTAAAATATATGATAGCCAAACGTTCATCCATTAGTTAATTGCTAGAGATTTCACTTCTAATTATCATTTTTTTTAATTTTAATTTTTTATGAAATATTGTTCTAAGAATTTTATTTTTGTAAAAAACATTGTCATAAGAAATCTCGTATGAAACATTGTTATAAGTATTTTTTCCTTTATAAATAGTTATTAAAGAGCAGCGTTGACGCAGTGATTAGAGCGCTTGCATAAGAAGTTTGAGGTCCAGGGTTTGATGCGAGGTCTTGGAATTTTTTGCACCATTGATAAAAATGGAAACCTGAACTTTATAATTCAATGCTTTTTTGTGGCGCTCAGTGACAAGACCATTAGGTTTTCTTAAGGCACCTACAATAAAAATTAAAAATAAATTATCTTAGCCTTGTTGAAAATGCTGTTAGCAAAATATACTTAAAAAAAAGTCTCGCTGCTTGCTAACTGAATATTGTAATAAGTAATGACATATTTAATCAAATATATAAAATTTTGATGAGTGTCTCATATACTAACTTAATTTATTGTTAATTTGAAAAATGTTGCAATCTATTGTTTGGTTTTTAACACAACTCTAATTGTTTATTCTATAAGTAATAGATATATAAAGACATAAAAGAAAAAAGGTGTAAAATTGGGTAATCAAATTAGTAAAATCTCAACGAAACAGAATGTCCTAAAAACATCCATTTCTCTCTCTGGCTATAAACCCTGAAAAAGGTTACAGCAAGAGACTTATTCATAAAATCCTGCAAAGGCTATTTTGCAATACTTTATGATCTCAGAAAATTCGTAACTCTTGTTTAAGGTCGTTTACTTGCATTTAATCTTGAATACAAATAAACAACCTAAATATTTTGTATAAACATTAAATAAACTGCATGTTTAAAAACATATCTAGCTCAAGTTTGAAAAAGCTCATTATTATTCAAAAGCAAACTCCCTTGTTTTTTAACTTTTGTTGGACAGTGGCAGCGTATAATATTATACGTATATCTGTATCGTCGAAACACGATTCCACCATTTGTCATTTAAAAAAATTACAGTTTTACATCTCGCTTGCATTTAATAAAAAAAGAAGTATTTTCCCAGCGCGCACAGTCAACGTCTACAATTAGCACGTCTACAAATAGCACGTCTCTGTACAACGTCTACAAATAGCACGTCTACGTCTACAAGCGGCACGGTAGGACGTTCTATTAACGTTCTGTGCCCGCTGGAATACTTTCATAATAAACAAATGCTTAACTAAAACGTACAATGTATTTCATCTTTTCGATCCATGAAAATCCAGGACTAAAACTTTCAGACAAAATAAATACAAATTGAGGTAAAAAGTATTCAATTGTAAAATTATGAGCATCCGTTGTAAAATTAGTAAAGTAGAATATTTCCAATATCAATGATAATGATACTCTAAAAGTTAAAAAATATATATAAAATATTAAACATCATTTAATTCTAAGAAATTAACTTTTGAGTTATTACTAATATAGTTATACTTTTTAAAACTTTGCACAAAAAATACGTATTGTTGGTTGATAATTTGATGTTTTAAAATTATTTGTAAATTATAAATTGACATTTTGTAAGAAAAATACTATTTAAATTTAAACTTACACAAATATAATTCTAAATATAATTTTTAAATCTTATTACTTTTTTTTTAATTTTTAAATTTTTTTTTCAATTTAATCTATATTTGTTTATTTTGACTATATAATTACCCTTCTCTAGGATCCAATGGATAATATGATTATATAATTGAATTATATAACTTTGTAATTACCCTTCTCTGGATCCAATGAAGTTCATAGTGAAATTTGGTGCACAGATGTCGTCTGAGGAGCTTTTTTCTATATAAAACATACGAAAACATACATTTAAAATGACAGAGTTCTCAGTTAATTGGCTTCATTAGCTAAATAAAAGAATGCACAACAAATATAAAACTTCTTAAAGCTTGGAAAACTTTTATAAACATTCATTACTCATCTTATTATGTCTTATAAAGTCATTGGCAGTATTATAAAAATTAAACTTACTTTTACACCTTTTTTCTTGAGAATTAGAAACCAAATCAAAACATGTATCAATACAATAGCAGTTATAACCACCTTGTAGGTTGATACAATACATATCGGTTAAATTGCAATCATGAGTTCCATCAATGCACTCATTTATATCTGTAAAAAATAGGAAACTATAGACGTAAAAAAAAGCTTTTAAATATTTTGAAAGTTTCAAAATAATGCGCTCATTTATATCTATAAAAAAAAGAAAACTATAGACGTGAAAAAGTTTATCATTTTATCATAAATAATAAAATTAATATTTTATCATTAAATAAGGTAAAAAATGCAACTTAAAATTTAAGACCAATTTGATAAAGCTATAAAGTAACTATTTTATTTAGCTAAAAATAATACCTTTTTTTTATTATTTTATATTGTGTCATTGGTGATAAGATTATTTTTAAATGTTCTTCCTAATAATTACAACAATAATTTGTGTATTTTTAAATGATATAACAGTTTAAAATAACAACTTTATGCGTGGTAAAGACACTTTTATGTTAAGAACTCATTGCCAAAATCAATTTGAAAAAAAAGATGGTCAAAAATGATCTCATTTTTCACGTTGAGCTATTAAATACTATGTATTTTGAAAATAGTGATCGTTAATATTAATAGTTGTTATATGAAGAACAAGCAAATATATGCACATAGGTTTGTTAAACCAAATTAGTTCTGGTTTAACTAACAAAATTATGTTTTTTAAGAATATATTTCTGCCCTCCCAAACTAATTTTAAATCGCAATAAAATGAAGCTATTTTGTTTTACTTACACACACTAAGAAAAAAGTGGTGCTTAATTTCATCAAGTCAAAAACACAAACACGATTAAATTAATACGATTTACAATCTTTAGTTTTTCATTACTATGTTATTCAAAGCTTCTATTATCTGGTTATTATACTATTTCAACTAATTATTTGTAAAAGTATTAGTTTGCAATTGCAATAATAAACTTATTGATATCTAATTACTTAAATATTGGCACAGCATGTGCATTTCATAAGTTCAGATATAAATGCCAAAAGCAGTTGGTGATGTAAAACAGAGAATAAATTTTTCTAAAGCGGAGATTAAATTTCATTAACAACTTTTTCACAACTTTGATGTAAGAAAAAACGCTGCATCATTGACGTGGGCCCTGAAGAGTTGTGACGATCGCTCCCATGTTGTGAAACAGTTGCTACTAAAGCTACTTCATTTACTTATCGTTTAAGTCATCGGATAAAAATAAGTTTATAACTGAGGAAAAGTTTGTTTTGCTTTTGATGACCAAGTAACTTATTAGTATTTAAATTGCTAAGTCTCATGGTAAACTGCCTTCCATAATCTTTTCAAGTTTTCTTTTAAAGTTTTTAAGATTTCTTCGACTTAATGTATGTTTTATAAACTTATATTTATTTATTTTTTAACATTATTCTTGCAAAAAGATTTATGTAGATAACAAGGTGAAAATCGAATGAAGCGTCGTCGCCTGAATAAATCTTGGATTTTATAATTACACAAAATGATGTTATTAATATTAGTACTGGTTTTAATCCTAACCTTATGCTTCTTGTTTTATAACTGCACTTTTTTGTAGAGCCAACTAAACTGCCAGATGATTTTCTTAATGATTTTAATAAAGAATTTTTATTGTTATCTAGTGAAAGTTTATACGATAACTTATATAAATATAATATTTATTTGTAAATGCATTCGCATTAGTTACACCTCATACTCAAGAGTCTGAAAAACAAAGTACTAGAAAACAAAAGTACAAAAGAAACTATGACTTTGATGAAGCCCTTGGACCAGAGATTGCAAATCAGTATCCTATGAAAGTTGGAAGTAAGCCCTTTAGCATTTAATTTAGTTTCTTTTTATGTTTTTTTTCTTTAAGTATAGTACTTATTGCATCCAATAGTGGTAAGTTGTTTATTTTTCTTAAATTGTATTACTTAATCATTATGTTTCGACGATTATTTACAAATATCCTATTGACACAGTTCAATTCAAAAAGTTTAGGTGTAAAGATTGGTATCATCAACCTAACTATATGATGTAATAGAGGGTAATAAAAAATAGATTTAATATAATGTTATTTTTTAATATTTAATTAAAAATCTATGTTAAATTAAAATTATTTTAAAATTTGAGTTTAACAAAAATATTTGCCAAGTTTACATTTTATTGTTTGGAAAGTATCTGTATATTTTATTTTATTTTTAGATGTTGTAAAAAGAAGATTTAAAAAGTTTTCAAATGTTGATATTAAACAGTAAATATGACAGTTTTGTAAATATGCTCTATCGTTTAAAAAAGACAAACTAAAATGAATTGTTCTTTTTTATTGTTTATATTGTATATATGTTTTTAAATGTTGTACAAATTGTTTTATAGAAAGATACTTTATAACAATCCAGCTAACTGTATTATATGTACCTTTTAAGTTGCTTGCTTTTTTTTTTAATTATTTTTTCTTTTTAATTATGTTTCCATAAAATGCAACATTAATTTATGAATTGGCTTATGTTTATGTTATTTTTATGCTTATTTTTATTTGCTTATGTTTATATTATTTTAATGCTTATTTTTATTCGCTTATGTTCATGTTATTTTTATGTTGTTTTTAATGCTTTCAATATTGGTAATGACTACTTAATTATACCATTACTTAATGATGAGCAGTTTTCTTGAAGTATAACTTAATAAATCTTTAAGCCATCTTAAGTACGACGTATAGAAGCAGAATTCTGTTAAATTGCCTTTTCGACGGACAAAGGTTACCATTTTTAGACGCTAACTTTTGTCTAAACAAAATACCTAAAACCTGTTTAAAATAAGACTAAATAACGTTTTGAAAAAAACGTCTTAAGGGCGTTTAAATAAGACGTTTCTTATCTGTCTAGAGAAACACATCAATTTAAGTAATCTTGAGTAAGTCATCATTTCGACGGACAATATAGACCTTTTTTAGACATCTTTAAGACGTACTAAATAAAACGTCTTTAGGCCTTCTAAATAACGTGTTTTAAAGTGGTTTTTTGTAAGATATCTTTAAGCAGTTTTTATTAAGACGTTCTTTTGACGGAAAACGTAGACCTTTTTAAGATTTCTTTAAGATTTTTTTAATCTTGAAAAGACGTCCTTAAAACAGCTTTAAGATGTTTTTTTGTTTCCTGGGTAAGTTGTTCAGAATTTTGTAAAATAAAATTCTTGCTTTGGACAACGAATTTTGAGTAGTTTCAAAAGTATCGAAAGTCTGGTTAAGTATGAAAATTTATTTAAGTTGGCTAGTTTGTTAATAAAATGGGTCGTGACCAGACCGGAGAGTGATATTCTTAAAAAGATCTTATGTAAGTAATGAAAGCTTTAACGAAAATACGTGGGTCACAACTTCTTAAATACTTAGTTATTAAGTATGCTCGGATGTTTGCTGTACGTACAACACTTGAAAAATAATACAGCTATTTGTATTAATTAATAATATTTATGATAATTTATGATAATTATGATAATTAATGATAATTAATGATAATTAATAATAATTAAACCTTTAAATGGCGCGATACTGCAAGATCGCGACTTTTCTCATGAAGAGTCCCTGCCTGTTTTTTATAAATCCACATTTTTTTTATGTAAACGTTTCTTTGTAATTATAATTATTATTATAACAGCAGCAAATATATATTTAAAAAAAGAAATGAATTTTGTAATTTACAAAAGAATCCATAGTCACACCAATGTATTTTGGTGTGGCTATGTTACCGTTTTTTTTTTTGGGTACCGTACGTACCCAAAAAAAATCAAAATTAACGTATACTAACTTAAATATGTTTGAAAAGTTCAAAGTTTACAGTTATGTATAAAAGAATAAAACCGCAATTAAACAAATTTCGCACAGTTATTTATTTGAAACGGTTAAAAAATACTCAAATCAAAATGAAACACAATATAGTATTACGGTTTCATAACTTTGTAATATTGATTGCAAAACTTTTGATCTTTCTCTTGATACACATCTTGCATGAATACTTGAATAAACACTTACAAACATTGCATGATTGTTTGTTTGAATTTGTTTGGTTTATCAGCAAAAACCAAAATTTTATGGTTTAGTTAAATTTTTTACACACCTAACTTTAATTCTTTTTGAAATTTATTACTTGAATGCCGAAATTTTATTTTTTTAATTAAGTGCAATAGGTTATTTTCAAACTTTTACAAAGCAGGTATAAAAGGTGGGGCATTTTTTGTTTTAACTAAATAATTATCATTATATTGGTTTTCACATGCAAATTACATCATCTGAGTTTGTTTTTGCTTTTGAGAAAAAATATGCTTTCCAACGAATTTTTTTTTATAAAACGTTCAACTTTTTAAATCGAACGAATAGTATACTTTATAATAATATAGGGATTTTTTTCAACGAGTAAATAAAATTATTAGTTTTCATTTATATTCAGCATTATACAATTAAGAGTGCTCAAAAATGTGTATAAGGAGCCTAATATATTTACGAATAGTTTTAAATGTATTCTTTAAATTAGAGTGCTCAATGTTCTTGTAAAAACAGAGCAATAATAAATTAAGTGAACATCAATTATCAACTTTTTTTAATATTACACAGTTTTTCATAAATAAAGACTCATCAAAAATGAATGATCAAATTAATAAAAAATTTTTACTAAATTTATTCCAAAAAATAAACAGACTAATTTAATTTTTAGAATAAATTTGGTATAGGTACAAAAATAAATTCAATTTATACTAGGGTTGTTAACCGGAGGATTTCGTGCAATTCCGGAAAAACAACATTCTTTCGTAAGGAGATTGAGAACACGGAATTACATTTTTTCGTACCGAATGTTACGAAACATTTAAAATCGCCGATGTTCATTTCGCAAAAGTCACTTCCGAAATTTAGCATTTCGCAAGTTGACATACGAAACAAAACTATTTTGCAACATACGAAAGTAGCGGTTTCGGAAGTCGCACTTGCGAAACAAACATTTTTGCCAAACGACGTTTTGAAGTCTATAAAGAAAATTTGTTTGCCAGACTGATTTTAATTGTAAAAATTAACATCTTTAAATCCCAAAATGTTCATAATGAATTTTTATTTTCAGTAAAATAACTTATTAAATTTTTACGGTTTTATTTTTAGAAATATTGATAAAAAATAAAATTTCTTTCGAAACGAAAGTATTTCGGATCACAACATACGAAAGAATTCTTAACGGAAATCAACTTACGAAACGTGCCATAATAAATATATACAACGATGTTTTTTGAACTCATTACGTATGTTAAAAATAAGAATGATGGGTAGGAATATACATGTTTTTTTTTTAAAGCATATGACATTTTTGAAACAGGTTCGAATATGCTTAAGCAAATAGTAAAAAGAGGCTCAAAAATATGCTTTAGCTTAAGCATATTTCTGATAAAATATACCTATTTCAATAATTTCTAAAAGTGTGCACGTTACTAAAATTCTAGCAGATTTTAAAGGTATGTAGAGTCCTGTTTGAATACGCTTTTCAAAGTATAGATCATAGAAAATTTTGTTTTTTAATTTTAATAAGATATAAATTTGAGTATAAGATTGTATAGTTCAATCAGTTAGATACGTGATAATTCGCCGCAGAGATCCGGGTTCGCATCCCGCAGCCATTGTAACTTTTGTTCATCAAACTCTTTTTACTTAAGATAGCATTTTTTGACCTCCATGTTCTATATTACAGATCTTTCGTCGCCTTCACAATAGTGACAACCTCTCTTCTGTTAGTTATTCTTTTAAGATTGAGTTCATTGTGCTTAATTCAACACGTTTCCCTTGCTTTACTAAATTATGATGAAATGTACGTAAAACAATTTTTTCAAATAATATAATTCCTTTTGCTTTAAATCTTTTGCTTTTTGTACTAGACATCTGTCCTAAATACTTTGTAATAATTTCTAGCTAACTCTGAGTCTAATATAACCATTTCTGAATATAATTTCCCTGAGGCTCCTACAGCCTATTGTGTTCCATTAAAAGTAACTAGTTTTTGAGTCCAGATATTAATTATAAGCATCTAAAGGTTCACATTACTATTCATTTTCCTGATATATAGAATCCTATTTGCATACGTATCTCTTTCTGTAAATTCTGTTTTATATAGTTTCAAATTATATATTAAATAAATATTACTATTCTCTTAGTTGAATGAACGTATAGCTCATTCAGTTAAGACATTTGGCCGCGTAGTCCCAGGTTCACATCCCGCTGTTTCACATATATTTCTTCTCTTTTTACTCTTTCTGATATCATTTACCTTTAGAGAGATCTCTCGTTCTTTATAATAAAGTATTTAATTGTTTATCACACATCCTCTTTATACTTTTTAAAAAGAAAGGCATACTGTTTATCTATTCATTGAGAGTCCAACTTAACGGGATTTTACTGTATATATATATAAGTATATATATATATATATATATATATATATATATATATATATATATATATATATATATATATATATATATATATATATATATATATATATATATATATATATATATATATATATTTATATATATATATACATATATATACAGTAAAATCCCGTTAATGTATATATATATATATATATATATATATATATATATATATATATATATATATATATATATATATATATATATATATATATATATATATATATATATATATATTTATATATATATATATATATATATATATATATATATATATATATATATATATATATATATATATATATATATATATATATATATATATATATTAGGTATATTTGTATAAACATTGGAAGAATCATTTGACAACATTTTTTTATAATTTTATTATTTATTATTTAAACTGTTAACAGTTAATATCTTAAATATATCGTAACATAAAATCTTCTGCGTCTTTTTCGTAACTACACATTCCGGAATGCTTTTTCCGTAAGGAACTATTTCGTAAGTATTCTTACGAAATGATTTGTTTCGCAAGTTTTCTTTCGTAATGCTTTATTACGGAATTTTATTTATTTATATTTTCGTATAGCGCGTTACGGAATGTGCATTTTCGCATGTGCAACGTCCGTAATAACAATTCTATTACGGTAGATAAAGATGCGAAATTTTCGCAAGTTTTGTTTTTCGGCGAACAACCCTAATTTATACCAAAACATAAATTACAGGAAGTCATAAATGTTGTAACTACAGAAATAATTCATTTATTTGTACAAATAAATGAAACATTTCTGTAATTAGAACATTCATGACTTCCTGTTAAGACATTTATGGTTTCCTTCTCGAAAGCTATTTATAATATATTATAATAAAAAAACGAATCTCCTTAAAAAATGTTTTTTCAAATAAAGCAGAAGCAAATAATTCTATTGCAAAATTGTGGAATATTTGACACTGTTATGAAGAGAGTTCTTTAAAATTGTTGAATTCTGCTCTATTTAAATATATATTTTTTTAATGGTATTATATATATATATATATATATATATATATATATATATATATATATATATATATATATATATATATATATATATATATATATATATATATATATATATATATAATATATATATATATATATATATATATATATATATATATATATATATATATATATATATATATATATATATATATATATATATATATATATACTCATAAAAGTACATTAGAGCAAACTAGGTCATTGCTGTTATATTGAAATTTGCGCCATATGTTGTTTAAAGAAGCATTACATTTCTTATAAAGGTAAATTTCAAAACAAATAATTTATAGTAATTTTTTTGTAATTATATACTGTTGGTTATGTGTACGCTAAAAGGAAGCAAGTACTGGAAGGAGTTGGACAAAAATGAGTAAAAGAGTCAAAGATTAACTTATTCTGGGATATGGGTATCCGCATGGGTAAAATGGAGCATATAATTTTAGTTTTGCATCTAGTTAGGAGCATGTAATCTATACTCCTTAACTAGAGAAAGTTGTTGAATAACATCAAAAGTATTTAATATGATTAAAAAAAAAACTTTCAAAATTTAAATATTTAAAAATAAATGATTTATCAAGTGGACAAAATTGATAAATCCTATCTTTGACTAAATAACAATAGCAAAAAAAATTAATTTAAAACAAAATTATAAATAAGTAGACAATACCTTCACAGTGGTCATTAACAATGTGAAAACCATTTTGACATGTGCAAATAGAATATTGCGTATCAACAAATGTGCACATTTCCGTGTTACTTGAATTGCAAGAATAACATTTTTCTAAAGTTATTAAACTAATTTTAAAATTTAATAAAACTAAGAAGGTATTATTTAAAAAAATTGATGTTTAAAATGCAATCCATTAATACATATTTATAATAAACACATAAGACTACAAGCATTTTTTCTATAATGAGATTTTATAGTAGATTAACTTGTTTAGCAAAACATTTTTTTTGTTATTTTATATTTTTGATTATTTTAATAAATTTTAGTAAATAAACTTGTTTTTATGTGATATATTATGTGCAGTGAGATGTTGCAGCAAGTTAACTTTAATTTAGAATAACAGTAAAGCATCAGAACTGATTTAATTACTATAAAAAGGATTTAGAATAGAATAAAGGAACAATACGCTGATGAGAAAGTTAAAAAATAATAAAATTTTCAGTGTAAGTATTTTTATAACGACAATAATAAATTTTTTAAAACATTTTTAAAATTTATTTACCGCATTGTTTGGGGGAGGAGGAAATATAATGAAATTAAGGGCTTAAACCCCACAATCTGATTATTGCGCAATCTCTGGTTTAATAACACTTGATTAGTGCTTCTTTGGTTTAGTGAAAAAAAAGTTTATTGAGAAAGTTTGGAAAACACTCATTCCTCGAACGTCATTTTTTTTTTTAAAACGCGCATTTGAAAAGCAATATGTTTTAGTTTAACTAAAATCTTTGATTTTTATTCAAAAAAATCATTTCTTTTTCAAATGCAGGTTCTTTAAAACAATAACTTTAAATTGGTTGTTGCTCAGCAACCCAGTGCATTAAAGGAACATTTTATTTGACATGTTACGTAGTACTACATTTTTAAAAGATTTAATTTAAAATTAAAGTTCTGGTATAAAAAGTTTAAAATTGATGACATAACAGAGAACTATTAACAGGCAAAGACTTTTTAGAAACCAATAAAAAATATACTACAAATTAGCACTCAGTAAAAAACAGAAAAATAATAACAACATATTAATTGATAGTAATCATTATTATATATTGAAATTTTAATTATAATCAGATGCGTGGCTAAGCTACTCCATATTTCCAATTGGGGGGCACAGCTATTCCCTAAATTATTTGTCTTTGTCTACGTATTTGTCTTTGTATACGTCTTCTGAGCTTTGTGTTTCGATTATAAAAAGTTTTTTTAATAAGTACTTAATCTTAAGCTTCCAATAGTTAAAGGAATGTTGTACAACAAATGCACAACAACATTACTTTTTAGTGCAAAAATTTTCCAGGGTAAGTTTTGCAGCTTGAGGTTTGTTGTACAACAAAATTGACAAAGTTTCATAAGCTTAGTTAAAGCTAGTTGTCTTGGCAAATGAACTAAACCTTATTAGTCTGATATAAACTCGACCTTTTGCATTAACCACACAAGTTTAGTGCACGCGTGAAAAGTAAGTTTGGACTTTTCCTCCTTGATAAATGTGGTCTATATTGTTTGTCTTTTAGCAAACAATGGTTGTTTGTCTTTTAGCAAACAATGGTTGTAATGAAAAGCTATTTTAGCTTAAATAAATAAAATTATACTTTGACCATTTAGTTTTTTTTTGTACAATTTTCTTTGAACAAAATGATCAGCGTAACAGTAAGTTGGTTAAAACAGAGAATTAATGTTTTTATGGAGATATGTTCGATAAAGTGTAAAAGATTAGATTTCATAAACCTAAAAAAGACTTATATGACAAATGTTAAGGTGAGTTTCCACTCATCCCTTTTTCTACGGGAACGGTATAGGAAAGGGAAAAATAACCATGTAAGCATGCGTAGTTTTCCTTTGGACAATTTAAAACTTATACTATACATGCCCACGTAATTATTTTTCCCTTTCCTTTCCCGTTCCCGTGAAAAAACAAATGAGTGGAAACCCACCTTAATTTTGTAAACAGTTAGGAAATACAATCACAGAAAAACAGGCAGAGTATCACCGTGTTTATTTAGAACACAAACAATTTTGTCGAGTCCCAAGGTAGTTAGACAAAAATAGCGTAACTGGCAGTGACTCTAAATAGCTATTAGTTTTTGATCTTTAGTTTGAATTGCCTTGCCCTTAATCTACCACGTCTATATTTCAATAGAAATGTAAACTTGTAAATAACTTTACAGGCTGTGAGGTTGACCAAAAATAAGACTATTTCATGCTCTAAAATTTAGCAATGGCAGGTAGAAGGTAAAATGAAATTAATAGCTCCCTCTTACCTATATTTTATACAATAGTTCAAGATAGGACAGGAATTACTAGCATAACATTGTGGATAGATGCTTGTGTTCCAAAAAAAAGTATCGTATGATGAGCACAGCTTTATTGAAATTTCTAATTTTGGACAAAAATAATGTGAAGGAAACTATAATTAGACCAGGTGGACACAATCCATAGTAATTTAGATAAAAGTCTGAGAAAGTGTAATTCTATAAATGATTAGAAATCATTAAAAGTACTGCTCACTTTGATGGAAAGAAGCCTTACAAAACGACTCAACTAAAACAAATTTAAATATCTCAACAATGGCAGGTTAAGATAAAATATCATATTCAAAAGTAAAGCAATTTTCATATCTTAAAGGAAGTTTTACAGTGAAATATAAATTAGCTTTAAACTCAGACGCAATACTCGTGGAAGTATCATTGCAACGAGTATCAAGGTGTATTGTTCTAAACCTGCCACATGTTAAATCCATTCAGAGCACGCTAAAACTTGACCTAAGAAAAATTAAAGATATCGAATCACTTTATAATTTTACAAATAATCAGTAAGCAAAAGGTTCTGGGAACTCACCGTAAAAAATCAGCGAATGGTACAGTCTTAATCTATAAAAGAATTGCTCGCTTCAATTATTTTTCAGCGGCGCTTATAGACACTGCTTTCTTAATGTTAATCTGAACAAAACAACACCTCCTTTAAACTTTCCAAATGTAAAATAGTAAAATTTAGCAAAATAAATATTGTTATATTATTTATTTGTTATATAAATGTAAAGTAGTAAAATGTACAGAGATATATTTGTTTTTATATTTAACCTAATCACAATTTCACAAAAAATACGACTGCGTATTTAAACCTTTCAAAATATATATAAATTCATTTTATTTTAATTTATAACAATCGATATTTAGCAGATCTATTCTGATCAGTGCAATCAGTTATAAAATAAATATATACATTTTAAATCAAAAGGAGTAAGAACGTTTTTATGTCAAGTGTGACAAAAAAAAAGGGAGATTGTTTGAGACTGATTGCTGTAAAGAATATATATACATTTACAATACATATTTTATGAAAATTATTGAATAACTGCATAACCATTAGTAAGAGTAATACCCAAGTAAGATAAGTAAGAACAAGTACATCTAATTAAAATAGAGAAAACAACAATATTGCTGGTGATTAGATCAAATATATATATATTTACTATGTATATATATATATATATATATATATATATATATATATATATATATATATATATATATATATATATATATATATATATATATATATATATATATATATATATAGGGGCGGATCTAGGGTGTTGCCACTGATTTGCGTGCATCAGTCCTTTTGCACCGCTAAATTTAAGTGTATCTCTTTTTCACTTTTTTTTCATAATAAAAAGTTAAAGTAAAAATTATATTCTGATATTCTCAAAAAATGTAAAATTTGTTTTAAACTCGAAAAAAATTATTACATCTAAACTCAATTTTATTTGATCTCTATCATTACTTATTCGTTACATTGACAAAATTTCCTTCGTTATGGAGCAACTGATGCAATTGTTCTTCACCAAAAACAAATTTTATTGGTTAAAGTATAAATATTCTAGGCTTTAACTAATCGTATTTGTACATTTTTACAAATTTTTCCTATCACTTTGTAGCAAATGATGCAATTGTTCTTTAAATCATAAATGATTGGTTAAAAAATAGTTTAAACCAATCACTATTTATTAAAATAACAACTACATCAGTTGCTACAAACCTTTCACAAAAAAATCCTAAAATATTTCAAATATGATTGGAGAATGTTTTTTGTAACCAATCAATTGAGTAGAAAGTTCAGAACAAATGTATCAGTTGCTCCAAATCGTTCATAATTTACAAAATTCTGATATGCCATTTGATATACGAACTTCGCTCGTAACTTTTTAGTTTCAAATGCGATTAAGGCTAGGTATTTGCAAAATATTCGCAAATGTAAAAATTAGTTAACTGAAGAGTTGAAAATTTTAAATAACAAGTGTCCAGTGCAGCCATATAGTCAGTCTTAAAAATTCTGAGATGGATTTTTTTATCCGGAAGCCAGACGATAGTAAAGATTATGGTGCTTAAAGATAAAACTCTATTACTAAAGTTAATGGTGTTATATATTTCCAGTTAAAAAAAAATAAACTGATCTTTTTTTATATACTTTTTATTTTATTTTTACTTATCCTTTACACTTTATTAGTCCTAAAAATGAAACAAATGAAAAACAATTCTCGGATGTTTCTTTTAAAAAAAAGTTAATTCTGCAAATTATGTCAAAATCCAATAAAATTAACTTTAAAAAGACAATGCTTTTATAGAGTTGTCTTTTGAACTTTCTGTAGATTTCAAAATAATTGAGTGATTAGATTCCAACTCTTCAAAGACTCATATACTTTATATGATGCTTCAACATATCTAACCCATGGTAAACTTTCTTTGTTTTAAAAAAGAAAGCTTACTATGGGTTTTGTTTTTCCAATATCTATTTAGTGAATATTTAATAGACTATTAATACAAAAAAATCATTTAAAATTGAATGATCCAGCCACTTTTTTTGGTTAACTTACTCTAACAAAGAAGATTGAGACTACTGTTTTCCATTTACTTTGCTATGTGTTTCAAATAAGTCTGGAATACTAAATTTAGTTTTCAAGCCTCATCAAGAATGGGGTTATGCTGTTTATGGTTTCAAAAAACATGAAAAAATTGTGTTTTACAATGCATTACATTCTCGTTCCAACCCCAAAAGTAATG